CTGCTGTTATCTTCTCGTTCCGTTTAAGCAGCTCATAATATGTCACTCCGAGCTGGTCCCACCAGATACTGAGCATGAGCTTGGAACTATGAGTATTCGGTTTCGCTGTCGATGGCTGAGAACCCAGAGGTCTGAGATTCAACGCCAGCTCTAGCCCAACAAGCGACATTGGTACGGAAGAAGGCGTGAACTTCCTGCGTGAACACCCGCGGTACTCTGTGATAAGACCGGAAGGACTTCTGGGAGCACCTAAATAACTACAAATAATAAAAAAAAAAATTGGAACGTCAAAGGTTTTGCTTGTACTCTAAATTTTGATTTCATAATAAAATTTATAAAAATTTCGTTTGAAAGGTTTTGACTGATGTTTTGTCTATAATTTGACTAAATGAGCTCGCGCATGCAAGCTACATGGCCGTTGTAAAAACCTCAATAATAATAATTATAAGCGATTTGCATCAAGTTATCTATGGGAAAGTTTCAAGACTTATGCAATAATTTACGCAAAGCTTCTTTAGCTGGCCATTTAATAAATTATGTCAGTTAACTTTATAAAGAACTTTATAAATTCTGTCAGTTAACTAATGAAGAAGTCAGTTAACTTTGGCATCACAAATTTTTGAGACTATTTCGGGTTAAATATCAAATTAGCATCCATTTTTAACTTCTTTTAAAATTTACAATAAATGATCTTCAATTAATAATAACTTAGTAAGCTGTTCAACATAACGTTTTTAAAAAAAACTTAAAAATAAAAGTAATATAAAATAAAAATAGTAAAAAATTATAACTTTAAAGAAAAAAAATATATATTTTACAAAATAAACTTGAAAATAAAAGTAATAGAAAAAAAACAACAGTGAAAAACTTTTATTTAAATTTAAAAACCGAGGAGTGTTTGTTCAATTTGAAGTTTATTAAATTTAGTAAATATTTTAGAAATATTTAGTAAATATTTAAGTAAATTATAAAGAAAAGAAATATTTAGTAAATATTTTAGAAATATTTAGTAAATATTTCAGAAATATTTAGTAAATATTTCAGAAATATTTAGTAAATATTTCAGAAATATTTAGTAAATATTTCAGAAATATTTAGTAAATATTTCAGAAATATTTAGTAAATATTTCAGAAATATTTAGTAAATATTTCAGAAATATTTAGTAAATATTTCAGAAATATTTAGTAAATATTTCAGAAATATTTAGTAAATATTTCAGAAATATTTAGTAAATATTTCAGAAATATTTAGTAAATATTTCAGAAATATTTAGTAAATATTTCAGAAATATTTAGTAAATATTTCAGAAATATTTAGTAAATATTTCAGAAATATTTAGTAAATATTTCAGAAATATTTAGTAAATATTTCAGAAATATTTAGTAAATATTTCAGAAATATTTAGTAAATATTTCAGAAATATTTAGTAAATATTTCAGAAATATTTAGTAAATATTTCAGAAATATTTAGTAAATATTTCAGAAATATTTAGTAAATATTTCAGAAATATTTAGTAAATATTTCAGAAATATTTAGTAAATATTTCAGAAATATTTAGTAAATATTTCAGAAATATTTAGTAAATATTTCAGAAATATTTAGTAAATATTTCAGAAATATTTAGTAAATATTTCAGAAATATTTAGTAAATATTTCAGAAATATTTAGTAAATATTTCAGAAATATTTAGTAAATATTTCAGAAATATTTAGTAAATATTTCAGAAATATTTAGTAAATATTTCAGAAATATTTAGTAAATATTTCAGAAATATTTAGTAAATATTTCAGAAATATTTAGTAAATATTTCAGAAATATTTAGTAAATATTTCAGAAATATTTAGTAAATATTTCAGAAATATTTAGTAAATATTTCAGAAATATTTAGTAAATATTTCAGAAATATTTAGTAAATATTTCAGAAATATTTAGTAAATATTTCAGAAATATTTAGTAAATATTTCAGAAATATTTAGTAAATATTTCAGAAATATTTAGTAAATATTTTAGAAATATTTAGTAAATATTTTAGAAATATTTAGTAAATATTTTAGAAATATTTAGTAAATATTTTAGAAATATTTAGTAAACATTTTAGAAATATTTAGTAAATATTTTAGAAATATTTAGTAAATATTTCAGAAATATTTAGTAAATATTTCAGAAATATTTAGTAAATATTTCAGAAATATTTAGTAAATATTTCAGAAATATTTAGTAAATATTTCAGAAATATTTAGTAAATATTTTAGAAATATTTAGTAAATATTTCAGAAATATTTAGTAAATGTTTTAGAAATATTTAGTAAATATTTTAGAAATATTTAGTAAATATTTTAGAAATATTTAGTAAATATTTTAGAAATATTTAGTAAATATTTTAGAAATATTTAGTAAATATTTTAGAAATATTTAGTAAATATTTTAGAAATATTTAGTAAATATTTTAGAAATATTTAGTAAATATTTTAGAAATATTTAGTAAATATTTTAGAAATATTTAGTAAGTATTTTAGAAATATTTAGTAGATTGCAAATTATATGAATCGGGAAAGCAAGATGATAGAAGCGAATTCCAAAGAACTGATGTTCAAGGAAAAAAACTAGAGGAATAAGAGTTTTTGGAGCATTTATGACATGAATAAATGGTGATATTATCAGCGAACAATGCCACCTTAATGTGACAATATCTGATTGATCGTTAATGTAAATTAAAAAGAGTATACGGCTGAGGAATGAACCTTGAGGAACCCCTGAGGTTACAGAATAAGAAGAAGAGTGCTATCTATCAGGACAACTTTTTTATTACGATTGGAAAGGAAGGGTTAAGTAATCTTAAAGATGTTTCCAGATAAACCGTAAGAAGAAAGCTTATGGAGAAGACCAGCATGCCAAACTTTATCAAAGGCTTTAGAAATGTCAAGAGCGACGGCCTTAACCTCTCCACCTTTATCAAGATAACACTCATTTTGAGAGAAGTAATGAAAAATAGCTAGCTCAAGATTTTCAATACACCTACAGTACATTAAATACTACACCATCAATTAATGAAGTTGGGAAACCATGTTGCTCTTTTGAAGAAGCTTGTAACAGAACAAAAATAATAAGCTTAACAATGTATCAGCTTAACAATAAACAAGCTTAACAAGAATAAGCTTAACAATGTTTTTGATATTTTATTTAGCCATAAATTACTTCATGCAACAAAATTGAAACTAAGAGAAGTGAATTTAAATACAAAACCGGCACAAAAGTTTATGTTATTTAAAATAAAAACCCAATTAAAACTGCTTAGATGTATTCATCTGATGAAGCTTTAGCATTCATTGTTAATGGTAATATACCAAAATCAACATACCAGCTTCTAAGAAACAGTGCTGAAAAACGGCTGCCACATATATCCTTTATATAATGGTATAGGATCTTCATAAGCTAAATGCTATCCTAAGAATATTCAAATGGATGGCTATTCAGTACAAATACAGCTAAAAGATCTTCTAAAACACACTCCTAAAAAGCTATGTGGTATACAAACTACTGTCCTAATCACAATCCTAAGTAATTAACTAAACTGATTATCTTTTTTTTTGTTGTTATTATTTTTAGGTGCCCCAAGAAGACCTAACAGGAAGTGAACCAGGAAGTTTTCGCCTCCTTCCTTACCGTGACGCGAAAATATATCCAGACCTCGTTTCGAACCTGGATCTCCTGCTTATAAAGCAGGCGCTCTAACCACTGCGCCACAATAGGACGTTTAGATGCAAGGCTGGTTTTGATGGTCCTACAGGACATAGTGTTTACAAACAGGTAAGTTAAAATGAAAATAGTGACGAATGAAGAGTGCCTGTTGGTTTTTTGCATAGTACCTTTAGAATTGTAATATCATTTATCCAGAATGTGCGGTCAATAGATTAAAAATAAAAAAATACATTATATGTAAAGATGATAAATAATCTATATACTTATTCAAAACGTTGTGGGCATTTAATAATATCAATATAGTTTCAAATCTATATATTCATTTATAATTTCTATATATTTTAAATCTATTATATAATATCGATAATGGAGTTTCAAATCTAGTGATAAATTTCATTTTTTCTGAAGTGCACATTTTTATTTTTAAAGTTTGTTGCATCAATTTTTTTTTTAAAGTTTATTTCACCAGAAGAGTTTGTTATTCAGTTCCAAAAGTTATAGGATTTGAAATTAAAAAATTGCAAATCCGCATTTTTAAAGTTTTATAAAGTTTGTTCAATAATTTTTAGAATTAGCAACTATTTAACTAAAGTTTATAATAAAAGTAAATATATCTTAATACAAAGTGATTCTTTTGGCATATAAAGGGTTTTAGTAAATAAATAATAAAAAAAAAGATCGAAATAATTTTGTCCACCATGTCTAATATCCGGCCTACTGTGCACCCGAAGAAATTGTAAGTATTCGAAATGAGAAAACTCAGCAACCTTAAAAACGATACCAAAAAGGCAAATTAGCCAATCTCACCAGTACACTAAATAAAGCAGAACTGAAAAAGCGTATGGTTCTAAAAAATTAAAAAAAAAATGCTCAAACAATTGCCAAGTCTGCCGAAACAAAAAATGCTACTCCTACGGAAATTGTAAGTATTTCGAATGAGAAAATTCAGAGTGTAAGTGCAAAGAATGACTGCCAAAAGTGTAGCCCCAACGATTTTTGTGAAGGTGCGGTTGTGCCTCACACTGGGGGCACAACTGTTTTTTGACTAAGTGTTAATTTCATCCAATAACATTTTCAAAAACCGTTTTATTTTATTTTAATTGCAGCAATTTAAAGCTTAATAATGTGGTTATTGAAATAAACTTTTTAAAAAACACATTTCGTTTTTATTTTCATATAACATTAATTCAAACGTTACGGGGGCGGTTATGCCCCTACTTTATTTTGCTATATTTATACAGTTTATAAAGCTCAAGAGATTTTACTTCACTTTATCTCTACAGTAAGTTTTTAACAAAATAAACTCTATATGATTCTTTCTTTCTCGATAAAATGCAAAATACGAAAAAATATAAAACTATAGTAAAAGTTAAAAAATGTTATGATTCCACTTGACTCTTTGCGTCCATAAACTTGACGAATCGTTGCGATAAAACAATCCCGCTGCGTTGCCTAAGAAAACAAAATTATTAATTAATTTAGTCACATTCAAAATTTAAAGCAAAAATTATTAAAATTACCAGAAAATAGTTATAACCTAAATTGCTCGAATAAAGATTTTGATTTGTATTAATATGTTATTCAAATAGTTTCATTTAAAAAATAATCAACGAGACAATAGCTGAATTTAAATATTTAACATATTAAAATGCTAAATTATATATAATAAGTATTTTATAAAATTTGATTAGATTTTTAATTTTTACATTAAATGTGAAAAAAATAAAAATGCATTATTATACTTCACACTCAACAGAGTGTGGTGAATAAATTATATCTTATTGTCAAATTAATAAATTATACCTTATTTAATCTTATTGTCAATACATTTAACCAGTGTGAAAAATAAAAAACTAATTTTCTTTTTGACTGGCTAACACATAATTGATGGTCAAATGTTAATCTTAAACGGTCGCTCTTAAAAAACTTTATTTTACTGTGTATTAATTTTTTCCCTCATAAACTTTGTTAACTAACTTTGTTGATAAAAAATAATATACACTTTGAAACGAATGAATTCGCATTACTTTCATAATAATAACAAATAAGATCTGTGCCATTTTTAAATGAAAAGGTAAAGTAACCATAACAACAAACATCAAATTTACTGATAATGTTAATTTTTTGAAATAACTATCGCACGCCAAGTACTTCAGTAAATTAAATTTAACTTTATTTCATTAAAAGTTATTTATAAAAATGCAAGGCTGCAAGCAATTGCTATTTAAATTAGGAGTCAACAGAAAACAATGAATTGTTAAGAAGCAAGAAAACAATTCTAAAAAACTGTTAATTGTATAAATCAGGAGAACATGGAGACAGGAGAAAACTCTAAAATTAAAAACAAATCTAGATGAATAAAAGTATTAAAATCAGGAAAGTCACAGTAAAAGGATACGACTTGGCTGAATTAAGAAGGTTGAGTTTTGATTAATGTAACATGACATAAAACCTTGCATGACTACCACTTGCATGACTATTGTAAGTCAGAAGTTGCAGTAAAGATAAAGAAATGCACCCTTAAAACGATGAGTGGCTCAAGCTTAGCAGCTCAAAAGTAACTAAAGTAAGTCCAACTACATTTCGTTTTTTTTTGGACCTTCTCTATTAAATGCCTAAAAAATAAATGTCTCTAAAAATCAATATTAGGAAAACCAACCTAAACATAACAAAAGTATTCCACACAAAGATAAATAATAAATCCAAAAAGTCAGAGAATGGAATCAGAAAAAATAAATTGGCTAACACAAGAGAAGCAACCTGAGCACTTAAATTGATGTATAGCTTCTATGAGGTTAAATTGATGTATAGCTTCTATGAGGTTAAATTGATGTATAGCTTCTATGAGTATGAATTGATGTATAGCTTCTATGAGTATGAATTGATGTATAGCTTCTATGAGTATGAATTGATGTATAGCTTCTATGAGTATGAATTGATGTATAGCTTCTATGAGTATGAATTGATGTATAGCTTCTATGAGTATGAATTGATGTATAGCTTCTATGAGGTTAAATTGATGTATAGCTTCTATGAGTATGAATTGATGTATAGCTTCTATGAGTATGAATTGATGTATAGCTTCTATGAGTATGAATTGATGTATAGCTTCTATGAGTATGAATTGATGTATAGCTTCTATGAGTATGAATTGATGTATAGCTTCTATGAGTATGAATTGATGTATAGCTTCTATGAGTATGAATTGATGTATAGCTTCTATGAGGTTAAATTGATGTATAGCTTCTATGAGTATGAATTGATGTATAGCTTCTATGAGTATGAATTGATGTATAGCTTCTATGAGTATGAATTGATGTATAGCTTCTATGAGTATGAATTGATGTATAGCTTCTATGAGTATGAATTGATGTATAGCTTCTATGAGTATGAATTGATGTATAGCTTCTATGAGGTTAAATTGATGTATAGCTTCTATGAGTATGAATTGATGTATAGCTTCTATGAGTATGAATTGATGTATAGCTTCTATGAGTATGAATTGATGTATAGCTTCTATGAGTATGAATTGATGTATAGCTTCTATGAGTATGAATTGATGTATAGCTTCTATGAGTATGAATTGATGTATAGCTTCTATGAGTATGAATTGATGTATAGCTTCTATGAGGTTAAATTGATGTATAGCTTCTATGAGTATGAATTGATGTATAGCTTCTATGAGTATGAATTGATGTATAGCTTCTATGAGTATGAATTGATGTATAGCTTCTATGAGTATGAATTGATGTATAGCTTCTATGAGTATGAATTGATGTATAGCTTCTATGAGTATGAATTGATGTATAGCTTCTATGAGTATGAATTGATGTATAGCTTCTATGAGTATGAATTGATGTATAGCTTCTATGAGTATGAATTGATGTATAGCTTCTATGAGTATGAATTGATGTATAGCTTCTATGAGTATGAATTGATGTATAGCTTCTATGAGTATGAATTGATGTATAGCTTCTATGAGTATGAATTGATGTATAGCTTCTATGAGTATGAATTGATGTATAGCTTCTATGAGTATGAATTGATGTATAGCTTCTATGAGTATGAATTGATGTATAGCTTCTATGAGTATGAATTGATGTATAGCTTCTATGAGTATGAATTGATGTATAGCTTCTATGAGGTTAATAGTGAATGATAATTCGAGATAATGTATAGTAGTAAAAGACTTTATAAAATGATTCAATTTTAGAAACATTCCTAGATACACCATAAAGAGAGCTTTCCGAGAAGACTGCATGTTAGACAATATTTAAAACCTTTGATATGTAAAATGGAGCCCTTGCCTTACCGCTTCCATACAATGCAATATTGGACTTTTCTGTCATAACAATTAAGAAATCAAATAAAAGAGAAAATAAGATGTTATATTCAAGATTAGCTATTAAAAGTTTGTTAATTATATACTAAAAGGTGACCAGGTAATAGTTAGAGGGATCAATATTTAAAGTTTTTAAAAATAACAACTAGATGGTATTAAGCACTTGTATATTATCCAAATCATCGGCTGTAGAAAAAATTAGCAATACATTACCTTGCTTTTCTGGGATGACAGGAAGTCATTATATTTAGAAGATGAATTAGAGGAATATTTTTTTTTAGAAGATGAATTAGAGAAATATAAATTTTTGCTCATAGCTCTGCTTTATCCGTAAGAAAGATAATAAGTTCACATCTGTGTATGAGATTTTCACAACAAATAAGTGAATTGAAACCTAAGTATACACTCAAACCAATAATATGACTGTTGGATTTTTTGCAAATCAAGGGATAATAACCATTAACATTGAGATCTAAAAATAAAACAACCAAATTTGGTTTAGTGAGAGCAAGTCAAGTGAAATTTGTCATATAATAAGTCAAGTGAAATTTGTAAGAGGCATAATATAATAAGTCAAGTGAAATTTGTAAGAGGCACAATTTAACAAATGAAAAGTTAATTCTCAAAGACTACAAATATTTGTAAAAGATAGATTAATATATTTTGGTGGTGTAAGGTTTTTTAATATTTAACATATTTGATGCTATCATAGCCGTGTTTTAAATTGTTAAAGAAATCGATTCAACCATAGATAGTATATTGCACTATTCATATATATAGATAGTATTATACATGTATTGTACTTATATAGTTGTTTTAGTTCTGCTTATCAAACTAAAGTCATATCTAAGAGCACCATATTCAAAGCAAATTTTAAAGCTTTAACTTCAATAAAAGATAATAAAAAACATTTTATAACCACTACAAAAGGAACCACATAGAAAAACCTGTAAGTAGAGTCGAGAAGATCTAGGGTTTATCATCCTAAATAGCAGGTCATGCAGCAGGTTATACTGGATCACATGTTACCAGTAGCATAGCAATCCTAATAAACATATTCCTGACCAGATATTACTGGAACATGTTAACAGAACACATAAATGCAACACATTACTGTAATAAACTATTGCTAATACTACTGGGAACTAACTAGACTACTACTAGATTACTAGACTAAATTAATATAAGAAATTACTACAATATATTACTGAAACTAATTACTAAAACATATTACTGGAACAAATTTGTTAATCATCAAATATATCTTTAGAGAAGAAATTGAAATATAAAAAAACTAGATGAAAAAAAAGTTACCCCTCCACTGATTTACACCCAGAGTATAATATTGATCTTCATCCATATCAAAATTTTTCATCATTTGATTTTCAAGATTTAGGGAGATTTTATCAAATTGCTCATTGGTCAGCCCAAGCCACTTATTGTAAACTGTATTAAAATAAAGATACAATTTCTGATTACGATGAATTGCATAAAGTTCTTTAGTTATCAAATGATGTCCTAACACGCATCCTACAGAAACATCCAGATCTAGAAGTATGAAACACCTTAATATCTCACTTAAATTGAACTTTTAAATTGCACTATTACACTTTAAAATAGCCATTAGTAAATAAATATTTTTTTAAAAAAGTTTATTTTTTAATACAATAATTATAAGCAAACATTTTTTATATATATCAAAATATTTGAGTTACATGTATTAGCAAGAGTTACATGTATTAGCAAGAAGTTCGATCCCCATAGTGGGGATTGAACTTCTTGATTACGAGGCAAGCGCTCTACCTCTACACCACTACTGCAGTATTTGTTGTGAGTTTTTTTTATATTGTTTTAAAAACATTATTACTCCTCCAATGTTTATTTTCAAATACAACAATAAATCACTTGAAGTAAACTATTTGTTAAAAGTATTAACACAGCATTACAGAGATAATAGTTATATAAATGAACACAGTATTACTGAGATAAGTAAAAATTACTTTATTATAAGATATCTAAAATTGTTGTGTAACATTTTCTACAGATACTATCATGGTCACAGCTCAAAGGAGCTTGCTCTATAACTCTGTTCTTTTTTTTTCCTAGTAACTCCCAACTTAATAGTGGTTGCTTGCAGCCTTGTTGGGAGTGAATGCAAAAAAAAAAAAAAATAAAAAAAAAACATAAATGTAGTTCATTAAAACAAAATATTATTTAACAAACATTTAGAAAAGTTTAACAAACATTTAGAAAAGTAAGATTCTACATGTTACAAAACAATCGTAGAACTTTCATTCTTACCAATTATAAAATCACCAGTGATATTTGAATAATAACATGCTGGTTTTATGCTAAAAAGAAAAATTTAAATAATTAAATATAGTAATAATATCATATAATTCAATCATGGTTATAAGGCATCTAAAAAAAAGTGTTAATCATAGTTTTTTCATTATTTTCCAAAAAAATTAATAATTGCAACATGTATCTTTCAAAAATTGCAAATATTACTAGAATAAATAAATGAAAATAGTTTATTAATGAAATTAAAAAACAATTAACCTCTCAACATGTTGGTTCATGCATATATACAAATAAGATTTATCAGCATTTACAAGTATTCCACGACCATAATATTCTGAATTAAAAACAAATAAAATTTGTTTAACTCTTTTAACTAAATTCTAGTATATATAATTTAATTTATCACTAACTAAAAACTAAATAAATATTTATTACTAAATAGTTATTTATTATTATTACAAATAAATATTTATAACTAACTACATACTAATAAATATTTAATATAGTTAATACAATAATAAATATTTAATACAAAACAATATAAGAAACATATACAAATTACTATACATTATATATATATATATATATATATATATATATATATATATATATATATATATATATATATATATATATATATATATATATATATATATATATATATATATATATATATATATATATATTTAATATATATATATATAGAAATATTATGTATTAATTGTATGTATTTCATATCCATATTTTATATTTCAGTATTATAAATTATACTAATATTTATAACTAAAATTAAAAATAAATATTTATTATTAAATTCATTGTTAAATGCAACTACTATGTTTTTAGATCTATAAATAAATGAAACTGCAATCAATAATTTCTGTCACAAATATTAAAAAATCCATGTAACAAATGTCTTTAAAAGTAAAAAATAATCACCAAAAAAACTTTACTAAAAAATAACGTTAAAGACTGCATTGAAGTGGTTTTAAAGGGTATTTAACAGTTTTGCATGTACTTGTGCTTTGCAAAAAAAATCAAGTAAGAAGCATGTTGTAAAAAAAAGAAAAGAAAAAAAGAATTACAAATATAATTTTATAATGGAGACATAATGATTTTAGTTAATCAAAAAATCTGTTAGGACCTTTATCAAATGTTCTTCAACATAAAAATTAGAGTTTGAAAAAAAAAAACAAGAAAAGAAAAATTTCTTTATCTAGCATCAATTAAAAAGATACAGCTTAATGTACAACAACCCTATAGTTTTATTGTACAACAACCCTATAGTTTTATTGTACAACAACCCTATAGTTTTATTGTACAACAACCCTATAGTTTTATTGTACAACAACCCTATAGTTTTATTGAGGATTTATAAAGTACTACTTCATTAAAAAAACCTTTGGTTTGAATGTTAATGATTTTTTAAAAAATCAGTTATAATTTTGCAAATCTTTTAAAGCTTGTTTCTTAAATAACAATACAGTAAACTACCATATTCATCCTAGGGGAATAAGAATTTAATTTGAATAGCTGAAATTTCAAATAACTAAAAATCTTCTTTAAAGTTACTTATTTTAAATTTACAGAAGTTATGAATACAAAGAAAGAATATCTTTAGAATAAGATGTTGTTTAAGTCTTTTCCTTGTAAAATAACAAATTTTTCACAATATTCTAAAAATCTTCTATTTTTGATTGCTTTTTGTTTCCAAAAAGTGTTAATTAACCATCATTAATACAAGACAGCATTAGTAACATAGTAACTTTATGATTTAACAACCAAATAGAGACCAGTATTCAAGTAACTCTATTGTATGTGGAACCTCAATTTTGGCTTTTTGAGAGGCAAATCTATATCCTCTTTTTTCTTAGCACAATTGTTGATTAAAATGGAATCTAAAACTTCTTGATGTGTGAGAGCAATTATTTCACTTGTACAAATCTCAAAATCTATGTTTACATAATCATCAAAAGTAAAGCCTTTATCTATTAACCACATGATCTAAAGTTGTTAGCGTTCTCTTCAAGTCATTTTAAAGAATCATTTATACCATTTATACTTGCAACCTGTATTTTCTATGAAATACTTTCCTCTTTAAAAAAATTCTTTACAGTGTTTGTCGATGCAACATCCCATGATCTGACCAACAATTTGGCTTCAGGGATATTAATCTTTAGAGTCATTTTACCAACATCGATGTATTTCTTCTGTCACTTCATAACATTTGTGAGATAAAAAAACTTTTAATGCCTTTATGACACTCTGGTCCATTGATTGAGTTTAGGAGGTTGTGTTGAGTAGTAAAAATACTAATTCAACTGCTTTGAGCCAACATTAGGATGAGCGGAATAGTTATCTATGATTAGAATAACTTTCATAAGCATTAAAATTTTTTTTTTTAATCAGTAAAGATAATTTCAAAATTAATTTCATAATCAGTAAAGATTAAGAGTACATCCAGGATTGGACTGGCAAAGTAGGGTTTTGTAACATTCAACATGGCAGCTTTTTATCAACCCTATTTCCTGCTGCTAGACCAATTAAATAAACTTTGCCTAATTTTCCTTCTGCTCATCAGTCACCTTTTAAATAAAAGAATTTTGTTGGAAGTGTTGACAAATAAAAACAAACTCATCAGCATTGTAAATATCCCTTAATTCATGCCTTGAGAGGATTGTGGGCATATAGGTCTGCTCCCAACTTGCTGCCATTACCTCTGTGCACAGTTTTCATGCCAAAAATAGTTTGAAAAACAATATTCCGACACTTATTAAATATCTGATATATCTTAAATCTTAAGTAAAAAGCAAAAAAATTGTTGTGAAATGAAGAAAAAGTGGAGTAAAAATATATGCAAATTAGAGAGAGAGAGGGTAAGGGGTGGGAGGGGGGATGAGGAAAGGAGGAAAAGACATAACACTCTAAATATTATGATGACAATGATCACCATCATCATTATTACTTTATTTATCAAAAAATTATGAGAAATTACCTTTCAAAGCATTTTTGTCTTTTGATATTTTTGGAAAGTTTTCATCCAAACAAGGCAAACTTTTTTGATATGCCATTGTTACAGAGTTCATAATGTTCATTTTACTTTTATAAGTAATTTTCACTGGAATTTCAATTGAAAAACCTCCAAGACATTTTCTTTTTTTTAAAAGCAATGTTATATTGTTTACAACTTTTGCGTCAAAATATCCAGGAAACTGAGCAACAATATAAAAGATATGATATGATATGATATGATATGATATATATATATATATATATATATATATATATATATATATATATATATATATATATATATATATATATATATATATATATATATATATATATATATATATATATATATATATATATACCTCCAAGACATTTTCTTTTTTTTAAAAGCAATGTTATATTGTTTACAACATTTGTGTCAAAATATCCAGGAAACTGAGCAACAATATAAAAGATTTGATATGATATGATATATATATATATATATATATATATATATATATATATATATATATATATATATATATATATTTATACAATTTTCTAAAAATACACTCCGTTAAAAAAGTTATTGGTGATAAATTTGTATACATCAAAAACATTAACTCACTAAACTCAATTCACATATTTTATAAACTAAAAGTTTATGAATACTTAGAAACAATTATTATTTCTTTAAACTTTTTATTTGCTTCGTTATAACAAAAATAATAAGAATTTACAAAATTTTCAAAAGACTAAAAATTATAAGAATGCTTACAGAATACTTAGCCTGATTTGAGTTAATTTTAAAAAATCCAGGTGGAACATTGTCAGAAGTAAAAGTGAGAAAAGGCGGAAAAAAATACTGTATTGTAACATTATAACCACTTCCATTCAACTCAAGAGATATGTTAAGAACATTCCTATGGTAAATAAGACTTGTTTTATTTTCATAAACTAAAATAATTATAGAATAATATTTTAAATAATTATTTTGGTTTGTCTAAGAAAACTGTTAAACAGCTGTTGTCAAACACCTTTTTTTTTGTTGAAAAAAAAATTTGTTTGACAACAGTTATTACCTAAAAAAAAATTTAACTTTTAATATTAGTATTTTTTTTTAAATCAACTTGTTAGTAGTCAAGTGTTCATTTAATTTTTTTTTATGTTATTCACCTCCCCAAGGATGAGAGGGCCACTACATTTGAGGAGGCTTTTTGTGGTTGTAACCCTCTCTTAACTCTTTAACTCCAAAACATGAAACTAGGCAAACAAGAACGCTGCATGGATAAATATTGAGCGTGGTACTACTAGGAACCTAGAAGGGATCAAACTCAAAACTTTTTGTTTATGAAGCAAGCACTCTTCCATTACACCACTACCATGTTGAATTTGATCTTTTTAAACAACAAATAACCTTTAAATATAAACACAGTAAACTATTTATTTAAAATTGAATAGAAATTATTTAAGTTGTTAAATAACATGGTCATTCATAAGCAAACATTAAATAAATTTGGTGTGTCCTGTGATTTTTTGCTTTAGAAAAAAGATTAGAATTTGCAAAAAAAAGTAATTAAGTGTTCGAAAATATTTTAAATGTTGACAATGGTCTACCGTAAGTCTGGTTTTGATAAAAAGCTCTTGAAAGATGGCCAAGAAAATGACAATGATGAATCTCTGACTGGATCCAAATCAAGTCTCAGCCACCAAATTTACCAATTTTTTTTTTGATTTTTTCTACTCTCAAGACTGATGGAGATTCATTACGATTGAGGAGATAAGGATTGAATTGCTAGAAGAGCTTGAGGCTGTACCAAAAAGTGTTTTTCAAAATTGGTTCAAAGATTAGGAAAAGTGTTCACACATGTATTAAATCAAAAAAAAAAAAGGATGGAGGAGGGGGGGGGGGGATTCAATATGATTGAGGAGATAAGGATTGAATTGCTAGAAGAGCTTGAGGCTGTACCAAAAAATGTTTTTCAGAATTGGTTCAAAGATTAGGAAAAGTGTTCACACATGTATTAAATCAAAAAAAAAAAAGGATGGAGGGGAAGGGGGGGGGGGAAGGGGGAGGGAAGGGGAGAGAGTGGGGTTGAATATTTGAAAGGGACACTTTGAATATTGAAGATCAACTTTTTGTTTTATTAACAAAAAGACCTGAAGTGCTTTTTTACAATAAAAGAAGAGTTGAAGTGCAAACTGCTTTTTTTTACAATAAATTCATGATTTTGGCAAATAACATGTTTCTTTAAGTAAAAACTATCAACACAAAACTTGATACTTTCTATCAAATATAGACTTTTTGATTTTAAAATTTAAAAATTTTGATTTTAAAAT